CATCAGTATTGTTCTAACCTAGGACAGGAAAACACCTACAGCTTGGCCGATAAATATGGCATCTCAACTCCAGAACCTTGTTGATCAGTTTAACACTCATTCAAAGTCAAGTGTTTTAATTACTAAAAAGTGTTCGGAACTTAAGGAACAAAAACATTATATTGTGCATACAATGAAGAAAATGGAAACATCTATTGGGGATGCTATTCTAGTCTCCTTAAGCGATGCACCTTTTACTCCAGGAGATGAACCAAAGTTCCAAATGTTTCTTCCAAAACGGTTTATCAACATGTTACAGAATAAGGATGTACGCAGCATAGAACCTGGCTCTCTCTATTTGGCGTCTCATGGAGTCAGTGGAAACAAATTCTACAGAACCGTCTATGCACTGTTGTTAGAATAAGAATATTGTATATAAATAAAATGTTATAAAGTATGATGTTAGTATTTTGTCTAAAATACTAACATGATATTTTTTAAAAACTAATATGGATGATCTTGGCCTAAATCAGAAACAAAATTTTACAATCGATTACATACGAGCTAACCCCCACCCCTCTTCTTATTTGCGTATAAAACGTTGCTAACAGTTGGGTTTTAATCATTTAGATCGTAGCAAGCCATCTAGTACCTTAACATGTCCGCAACCATTTTGAAGATTAAGATTGCCTTTCCAAACTATACCCACTTTCAAACTAGGCTGAATTTTTTTGAAAAAAGTCTACTTAAGTCTGTCGTAAACTATTCCAAATGGGAATTATCCGAAGCTGGATTTTTTTACACGGGGAAGAATGATGAAACTATATACTACTGTGGAGGAGGATTAAAGGATTGGGAAGAAGAAGACGATCCATGGCAAGAACATGCGCGATGGTTTCCAAGATGTCCCTTTGTGATTGTTAACAAGGGACAAGACTTTGTGAACAAACATTCCAATCAAATAAATAAAAATGCGATAGTTAAAAAGAGATGCTCAACGAAAGGCTCGGGAACAAACGAACCGGTGCAAAAAAACGGCTCGGAGTGCATAGTATGTTTGTCCGCAGAAAGGGAAATTGTGTTTTTACCTTGCAAGCATTTTTGCAGCTGCATTATGTGCGGCCTAAGTGTTGACAATTGTGTTTATTACATAACCCCTTTTATTTCTGTGATGAAAATATTTATGGTGTAATACGTGGCCCCTTCGAAAAGATTAGTGGTGGGGGTAGCTAAGGGGGGGATAGACTTGACCTATAAATACATGAAGGTAGTTCCATGCTTTCAATCGTTCTGAGGACTTGCTAGAGGCAACTTCAGCTCAACACAACAATCATGTCTCTCAAAGTTAAGTTTGTCCAGTACGACGATGTTTACCTTTCAACCTATCATGACATTGAGGTTTTTGCTGAAGAGTTGAGAGTTCTAATTGCAAGTAGGTATGCAATTGCAATAACAACAACAGCTAACAGCACTCTGCTTCCAGACTACGGAGCTTACCATGCCCCAATCGAAGAAAATTTGATACCGACCATTCATCAGCATTCATCATATTATACGGAAGCAGCAGCTCTACAATGACGAAGAACGATTCCAACACTTCTTAGATTTAACTTATATTTAACTACTGTACATTATTATTACTATTTCTAATTGTAATAAAAATAAATGAAAAAATATAAAATATTCTGCACTATTTACCCATTAGTGCAGAATATTTTTTAATATTTAATATTTAAAAACACAGAATATTTTTAGAATATTTTTAATATTCTAATATAAATATTTTTAATATTTTTTAAAAACACATTCAAACGACCTTGACCTAATAACAATACCATCCATCTACAACATCTGTGATCACACACATCACCAGAGTAGGCCTACGTGCCCAAGCCCTGACTACGATACTCCCCATCACTAGATACTTACCTAATTAGGCCTACATTAATTATGACGTCACGGCATATCAACCGTCCTTCCCCTACTAATATATATTTCATAATTTTATAATAATTATAATCTTATTATGATTGAATACGTTTTTTTCATTTTTTTATATTAATTTTACATATTTAATAATTATAATAATGATTTTATATAAATAAATACATATAAATATTTTTGACCATAATAATACTACATTATTATACAATCGATAGTGCTCTTCAAGACGAGTCTCCCAGAAACCAATTTCCGACTATCACCAAAATTCTTTCCGGACCCTATACAATCGATAGTGCTCGTCAAGACGAGTCTAAGGAGCATATAATTGTACGAAATCGAGTTTTTTCGGTGGACCTTGATCTCCCAAAAACCAATTTTCTACTATCATTAAATTCTTTCCAGACCCTATACGATCGATAGTACTCGTCAAGACGAGTCTAAGGAGTATATAATTGCATATGTTATGAAGAATACGAAATCGAGCTTTTTTGGGACCTTGATCTCCCAAAAACCAATTTTCTACTACTGTATCACCAAATTCTTTCCAGACCCTATACGATCGATAGTACTCGTCAAGACGAGTCTAAGGAGTATATAATTGCATAGGTTAAGAAGAATACGAAATCGAGCTTTTTTTGGGACCTTGATCTCCCAAAAACCAATTTTCTACTATCACCAAATTCTTTCTAGACCCTATACGATCGATAGTACTCGTCAAGACGAGTCTAAGGAGTATATAATTGCATATGTTATGAAGAATACGAAATCGAGCTTTTTTGGGACCTTGATCTCCCAAAAACCAATTTTCTACTATCACCAAATTCTTTCCAGACCCTATACGATCGATAGTGCTCGTCAAGACGAGTCTAAGCAAGGCCGCACTAGTAAGGAGTATATAATTGCATATGTTAGGAAGAATACGAAATCGAGCTTTTTTTGGGACCTTGATCTCCCAAAAACCAATTTTCAGCTATCATCAAATTCTTTCCAGACCCTATACGATCGATAGTACTCGTCAAGATAAAGATAAAGATAAGTATACACCACATAATATACATAAATATTTATCTAGCACTATTTTGCGATTATGTTCTTAGTTTCTAAATGCACAATGTTAAAATGGGCTAAAAATAATGTTATAAAAAGTTCTCATAACTTTAGAATGGGTCAAGATTTTTTTTAACGGATTGCAGCATCGTATTCAGCATAAAAAAGTAGTTTAAAACAATGGGTCACAACCCTGCCTTTACATTTGAAAAAAAAACTTTGTATCCAACATGGCGGATCCAAGATGGCGGCCAAAAATTTATACCCAGTCAAAATGAAGTACTTACTACTCTACAATGATCTGACGTGGTCCGGAGTTGATATCTTAAGAAATGTAGAAAAAAGTATGGGGGGAACTCATTTAAAACTCACCCTGTATAATTGCATAATATGTTAAGACAATTAGGAAATTAAGTTTTTTTCGGGGACTTTGATCTTTGAATAATCTATCTATACTTATTTAATACGCAAGCAGGGTTTTTGTGACAATTACTCCTCCGAAACTACTGAACCGATTGATATGTTTTTGGTGTCATTGGAAAGAGCGTAACGTGGAGTTGTGCAGGAAACTTTCTTTTTAGGGAAATAATTAGAGAGTGAGGCCCTAGGGCCCTTTAAAGTTTCGTATTTCTCTATAAGGATAACATGGGAGATAATTTTTATTTACAGAAACATATGTTTGTTACTTGAAAATAGTCAAAGTCTACTACATAATAATTGCTGGGTATTATGATTCTTAATGTATACTACATTTCAATCAAGGATTGTGTACCTTAACGTTTACCCATAATGGATCTTACTACTTTATTTTAATGCTGGGAATAGTAAAATTTAGTTGAGATACCATGATTTAGAAAACTTTACTATAATAATTTATGTATTAAAAATCACAAATCTTTGACATTATTAATTCATTTGAAACTAAACAGCTGATCGACAAATCAAACAAATCATCTACTTCATATAAATAATGACTAGCTGTTTGCCCGTTCTACGTACGGGAATCTTGTATAGACTTAAATCTTTAAATAATATATATCTTTAAATAATATATAGCCTTTAAATAAACAGCTGTTTATTAAAAGAAACTCGTCAGCTTTTTGGAAGCGAATATTTGTGTTTTTTTGGGAGCAAATATTGGTGTTTGCAATATGCATTTTCAGTATGTTGAACTAGAAGAACAGAAATGCCTACAATCGAACTAATAATCCCATAATTATCCTTATAATCCTTATTAAAGAAGACACGTTGAGAAGTATAAACCTTTTTTATGTTGACGTATTTGAATTAAAATTTCAAATATAAATTTCTAATTAGGCCTATACAACACCATAACCTCACCGACTTTATGAACCGGATCGTCAAGGTTGAACTAATAAAGGAGCCCTTCAAAAAATGGATTTTTTAATACTTTTAAAATTACAAATTTGTTCAATACCAATTTCAAAGGGGTTTGTGACAAACAGAGTATCTAGTGGCAAAATCTGCATTTAACCCTTGTTGTACGAGTACGACGAAATTGTCTTTTAAAGAAATTGCTATATAGGCGTATCAGATACAGTAACTGCTGTTTTGTGGTCTTCGGTGTTTGCAGACTATGATTTGTTGTTATAGCATAAGCTGTGTCAGCCAATTTAAAAAGACTATATCAGATGTATTTAAGCAATCAAGCGAAGTTTAAAACCTGCCATGCCGAAGCTTTACATTTTTCATTTACAATTTTAAATTTTCATTTCCTTTTCTACAATACTTTTTAAATTACCAGTAAAAGTAGTTACACCGTTTCTTATTTTTAAAGGCAATCTACATAGTAGACACCTTTCTCAGCATCGAAGGCAACTGAATTTTTTGAATGCAACAATGAATGACGTATATACAGCGATGTCGAAACTTTCAAATAGTATACCTATCAAACCAGTTTTAAACTCGAATTGCAGAATTGGCAAGCTTAAGGAAACTGGTTGTCAGTAAGGAGGGGGGTGATGACGTTTGCTGACGTCAAGAACCGTAATGTCGAGGAAAGGTTGGCTACTGTGTTAGTGTTGAGTCTGCCGGCAGTGACCAGTGACGGGCTAGAGTGGGCAAGATGGCCAAGACGTGTGACTTGTTAGGCGCTGTCTTGTGTTTATGTGTTTGTCTTATAGTCGTCTTCACTCAACACTTGGGACTGGAGGAAAGTACGTATGGTCACTATATAGTTTCGGTTTAGAGATTATGTTAAGTTAGACTCACTTAAGGTTCTTGTAAACATCAATAATTTTACTTTAAGACAAAGACGCACATCTAAGTCCGTATTTTAAGCTGAGAATGAATCCAAGGTGGTTGCAGAATGGGTTGAGATGTTCTGTGTAGCTTTTGTTTTTTATTGGTTATACTAGTAAGTGGCAAGAACTTGAAATGATGATTTTGAAGAATATGGAGACTAAATAGGTACACATTGTTTGGAGACTTAAACTCAGTGAAGCTTTTTTACTAAGTAAATTCTGGACTATACACATCAATACTTGACTTGTAGATACAGTAGATGGTTTCTGGACTATACATATCTATACTTGACTTGTAGATACAGTAGATGGTCTCTGGGCTATACACATTTATGCTTGACTTGTAGATACAGTAGATGGTTTATGTTCACAATGATAGTACCCTACTCGTGTGTATTTTGGTCAATAGTTCGTGTTGAATTAGATCAACTTTAGGCTATTATAAACAAGTTTCTGCTATGAAACAATGCTATGAACATTATATACTTATGCGAAAGGAAGAGTAGGGACTAACAATACCTTCCTCGGAGGAAGGTATTGACAGTCCCTACTCTTCCTAGTAATATGAGACTGGTTAAACTAAATGGGTATACTGGGTATACTGTTTTTATTACCTGGAGTGTCAAGTTTTAAAACCTTGTCATTTAGATTTACTCATTGAAATATACTGCTTTCTTACCACTTATATAGACTCTTTAGATTCTTGTAAACTATTTTTATTAAAAATGTGCACGTCTTGTAAATTTCATACGTAATGAATTCTTGATTATTTTATAGGGGTTTTGATTTATTTAAACGAGTTAATGAATAATAAATGTTCAACTACAATTATGGATTACTTCCTGATCTGTTATAGGTTTTCGGCTTTTGTATACTACTTGCTGTGCACATCTTTACTTAATTATTTGAGTACGGTAGAGAATCAACATTAGTTATCAAAATGTTGTAAATGCGCTTGAGGATTTTTTTAAACTAGTTTCGGTATTACTTGTTATTTTACATTCTATAGCTAAAATTAGTGTAGTCTCTTAAAAAATCAAATGTGTGGTCATCGTTTAAGGCTGACAACCAAAAATTGAATACCGTCATAGAAAATATACTACTATTACCGTTTATAGCACATAAAAGTTAAGCTTAGAATGTGTAGATTTGTCGAAGATTATTGGTAAGAACGGATTCCTAAATCGTAAGGGCTCTATCCCACATGTCAATTGCCTGAGGACTCCGCCTTGCACCCAAAGTTTACATTATTTAATTGATTAACATCTGTTTGTTTATTTACTTGAACTAGTGGTCGTCCAGTAATAACCTTGGTCCAGTGGTCGAAAACTTGACATCAAATAGTACACGCATTGACTATTGGATACTGAAGTAGACAGTCCATCTATATGAACCAGCTGCCGTCATTTTTTATTATAAAACATTGTAATTGTGCGAACCATACAGAATGCATGTCTAAAATTGTATTATCTACCTTATTTGTTGTTACTGACAAAGTTGATGGGTCATAACAGTTGCTATAGCTCATAATAAGTCTTTCCAAAAGTTGACTTGGTAAAAAACATTGTTTATTTGACAGAAATTAGTAATTTAGATCAACGCAATCTGTTGGTGGCTCACATCAACTACGACGAATTTAATTAAAAAAACTGGCGACAACCTTAAAATTGGATGGAATGTCTAGTTGTATATCAGAGCATAGACAAAAAAGGTACAGGCTTCTCTATTTTCACCCCAAGCTGTAAATAAAACATGTGATTGGAATTGCTTCAATTCGTTTTATAAGCGTCTAGGCAGCCAGTGCAACTCCGAGGATCGTGGATCAGATCGGAAAACCCCCGACCACCGCTCCGTGCCGATGGCGTGACGTCAACCATTACCGCAACGATACGGAGCTGAGTCATGAGACTTGGTGGTATAGTGAATAACGTGTCGGACTGGTAATCTGAAGGAACCGGGTTGAAACCAACTGGTAGCTCTAACTTTTTGTCAACAATTTTTTTCATATCAGCAAGTTTGGTTGGTTTGGTTAGGATATGACAGTTTAATTTTATAATTAAAAAGTTATAAAATTGAATTTGAGACATTTATAATTTTATTTTTAGAACAGAACTATTTTTTCGATTAGTAAACCTTCAATCGAGTTTTTGATTATCAGCAAGTTTGGTTAGGTTATGAAAGTTTAATTATATTTAATTTAAATTCAACATACAAACTATACGTTTTGACAGCTGACAGCGACAGTGATAGAGATAACAATTTTCCGCGAACAGTTAGGCTATGCTGATGGGCCGGTATGATTTGGAAGCGTACGACATGGTGCGGTGGTGGGGATCCAGTGTGTTCTGATCAAAGAAAATAGAACCTTTAGGTTCTATTTTCTTTGGTTCTGATCCACGATCCTCGGAGTTGCACTGGATTGCTGCCTAGACGCTTGTATTCGTTTTGATTTTATGTTTATATTTCGTTTGTTATTTCGTCCCCACCATGGCAACCCATAAGACCCATTTTATTATTTTTTTCGAATTCATTTGTTGTGCTTATTTTTGAGCCTGTTTTAATTTATAAAGGGATTCTGCACACCTACAGAAAAATATCTTTCTGCGTAGATTTCCCCTACGATGCACACGAGCTGAGAAAAAAGGTTTTAAAGAAACATGCTTGCCTATTAATATATAGAGAGGTTTTAGATAGAGTTTCATTTATATTGTGGAAATTTATGAGTTAGGTAATAACAGTTTTGTAGAATTTTGCTAGGCCTAATTCCTAGTTGTCTTTGTAGTTAATATAATGTGCTACAGGTTAAGAGGTTTGACTAAAATAAAATAATTAGGGTAAAACCCAAATTATTATGACTGGGACGGTGGCGTCGTCCTGTTATCCAGCTACTATGATGTCACGAATTGTGGATATTTATAGAGATCCACTGTGGATACGATACTCCCTGTTGTGGATTTACGTCCTCACTAGTGAGTACTACGACTATTCTTCGCAGTAATATCCTAATAATAAAACCAATTTGTTAATATCAAAGGCAAGAATGTGGTTCGGATTCCACTATAAAAACTGTAGGTCCCTTAGTTGCCATTAGCTGTTTGGGCTGTCAATTAACAGCTGTGGCTATGGTACATGTCGGCCTTAGTCACTAACGAGACTACAAGATCGCGCCACTCTTCCTACACTCACTAACCTATCGCCTATAAACATATCGATTCCTGTAAGCTTTGTAAAAGAAAATCTCATTGACAAAGCCCAGGGTTCAACGACCAATGACAAACGACTCCTGGTGACAAGACTACGAGCTAGATAACATTGGGACTAATAACGGGTTTATCAATTCACAAAAGACATCAATTATCAGCTGTATTTTGTCTTTGAGAAGGGAAACGCATCTTAAGTTTGTTCTTTTGGATGGTGATACTTAATATCGGTAATTTAGCACAGTAGGTATCCAATCAAGACAAATTAAAAAGCAACAAAAAATTAATTGGTAATTTATAGGAATCAGACCCGTGCCTCAAAGACCAGAGCTCTAAGGCCCCGGCCACACGAGGCGAATTTAAGCCGCGCGAAGTACCTGGCCACTCGGGGCGGATGAACCGCTTCCTGTTGGGTTTTTCCAGTTTCAGTACTCTATTAAAACATAGTTCAGTTCACTCTTTTTAGTCATGGACGAAACACGTATGTTAGTTTGTGCATTAGAAGTGTGTGGTGAACTGGAACCAAATGTTAACAGAAATCATTGGGTCCATCCGTTCTAACGGAAAAACCATTTTGTTCCACACATTTTACGAGCACATGCGAAACCATAGATCGGAGTTTTTTGGTTATTGCCGTATGTCTGTAGCATCTTTGACCAGTTCAATAAGCTTGTATGTTCAAACATTCTTTGAACACCACACAACCGGTAACAAACACGCAAAACAAACTAAAAAACCACTGGTAATGTCCGAGAATATCTCCAATAAGCGCGGCTGCCGCGCGGTCGAACCGTATCGTGTGGCCACTCTCATAAGACTACGTGTGTCATCCCCTCCAACGCGGCTTAACTTCGCGCGGTCGGGGGACGACATGGCGCGGCTCAACCACACATGCGGCTAAACTTCGCCTCGTGTGGCCACTCTCATTTGATTCAATGTGTTGTCGATCCCCTTAACTTCGCGCGGCTTAACTTCGCGCGGTTAAACCACCTCGTGTGGCCGGGGCCTAAGCTCCGTTATACCGAGTAGTAAAGTGAGATCACAAACAATACTAAAAGTAAACCCATGGATAAAACTCACATGTATGGATGTTCTCACATGGATTCGTCATATGTGTGGATCAGTTAAAATAGTTTTTATTATCATAATTATTAGCATTATAAGAAGAGGAAATATAACATTGGACTAATACTTACACTTAATTTATTTAAACTTGGCTATAAATGAAGCCGACGATGTAAAACTTTGTCTAAGATACAAAAATAGTTATTTGTGCAACTGGTGAGCAAAGTGAGCAATTGACTCACTCGAGAGAAATACATTACTCACGAATGGTTTCTCGAGTGAGGCAATTGCACTTTGCACTCGAGTTGCACATTAAATCTTTCCTACAGTTACCATAAAACAAATAAATTGGTAAAGAAACGTAACATATTTTTACACAGAAGTGAACTTTTTAATATGACATTTAATGATACAACAGCAAAACAGCTGACCAGCTGATTTACAGCCAGTGCTACAGCTGCCAACGTATTTCGCGCGCATACGACCTTGTCTGCATGTTAGGCCCCGTTTATGCACCAAGTGCGGTAGCGGTAGCGACAGCGGGAGCGATTTCTAACACCATTGAGTTAAATGGGGCTGTTTATGCACCAAGAGCGATAGCGATAGCGGTTGACCTCCCGCTGCGATTTCTAATTCACCCGCTGTGTA